CTCTCTCTCTCTCTCTCTCTCTCTCTCTCTCTCTCTCTCTCTCTCTCTCTCTCTCGCTAAACATCTCCATTATAAAAATATTTGCGCTGGAGTTTCTTGTAAGCGCAGCCAAGTGCGCTTAATGTTGAATGTATGGTAACACGTGCGACAAGAAATGCTAAGCACAATCTGCCGCACGCTGTCTCTCCTACATCGCGACTGGAAATGGAAATGCAACGGTGCCGCGTCTTGGCTCACGCTTAAATGAACGAAGCCCGCCATCTATTAGAATCGAAATTCAATTTCGCCGGTCCACGCATGCAAACATGAGACTCGCTCTTTCGCGAGGAGTCCACTCCGGATGCATATTTCATCCCCGCGAGGGAGCGAATTTGCATCTCTCGTGGAACGCATGCACTCGAGCAACAGTTTTTCGTCACGGCAGTTGGTAGATCGCGAGAGGCCAATTTCCCAGAATGGAAAAGGGTTCCCGTAGACGAAGGGGTCTCTCTCATTCGCGATGCCAGAAGGATTCTGAGCCTTTGCTCGCATAAGAACTCCTATATGCAGTCGCTCCTGCGTTCTCTAAACAGTCGGAGCGTGTTCAGGCGGCGGAATACGCCGCACCTGAATAAAATATGCCACGAGACGATCTAAAGGCCGTCTAGCGCGGTGTACAATGCGTTGTATACATTGAAACCAACTGTCTGACGTTTCTTCCAGAAGCTTACACCGAACACCGAGCTTCCGAGATCGCCATCGCCGTGCCCGAGGACTGAATTATGTCGCGGCGACTGACTCTTTTTCCCACCCACGCTCTTTCTCTCTCTCTTGTCATATGTCATAAATTATAGAACGATAAACGCTGCGACAGGAAAAACATTGTGCGCAATTGCAGAACCCAAGACACACCGAGGAAGTGTGTGGCGACAAGATACAAGTAATTTGTTCTGGAAGCGAAATGTAAGTCCAATCTTAGGACGTATAAATTTCAACGGGATGAGGACACGAAGTGGAGTGATATACCGCTTTTAACAAGAATTTTTGAAAGTGACTATGTAGTATTTATAGAATAAACACAAAAATGCGTCACGGGATAATAAGGACAATGTACTTTCGTATTTCATAATATTACACTGAGAGGGAGAGAGAGAGAGAAAGAGAGAGAGAGAGAGAGAAAATATCTAAAAAATAAAAAAATATTGATTCACTAGGTATTAATATATACACCTTTACATGGAGAAAACATTTTTTTCAAATGAGAAAATGTACACTTTTTTTTAAATAATTGTTTCTCACGAAAACAGTTCATTTTATTTAAACAAAAGAAGACTTAAATAGTAGACTTAAATAAATATGTTTTTAGTTTCCATCGAATATTTTTATTTTTAAAATATTTTTTCTCTCAGTGCAAAAGCTTGCAGAGCAAAAGTTTGTTAGATTTTTATTCTTATTTTTTTTAACAAAAAAATTTTTATTTTTTTTATAACAACGCGAAACAGTCCATGCTATATTCAGTCAAATTATTTACCACCGTTGTTTATCACTTTCTGCCTTAGAAAAAAAGAATACTTTCATTTTTCAAGCAATTGTCAGATCCCGTGTGTATAATTCATCTTTTGCATCAATAAAATAGTTACGCTTTTTTTCTGAGAGAAATAGCTTCGAAGATCTTGAAGACATCTTTGTTTTTTGCACTCGAAAATATTGAAGATGGCGATAGTAGACTCAGTCTGTATACATGTTTACACGTTTACGAGATAAATATTAGTATTTGCACCAATGATTTTATAACACGATTCCTCAGGATTGAAGAGTTAATCGTGTAATAATCGCAATTTTATACGTGGACATCAGGAAAATGTTTCGGCCCGATATCAAGAGCTGTTGACGTCACGAAGGGAGACTCACGAAGGGATCTGGCTCTGGTCCTTATAGGTGGGCGGGTTTCTTATTCGACGTTTCCAATTTCGACCGGAATGGACACTCGACGATACTCGGTATATCCAGTGATAGAGTCTTGGTATCGACTCGATCGCGTCCAGAATGCTCGCTCGCCCACGCACAGGATGATATTACTCCCCTACGGCGTCAAGAGCGATCAAAGAATTCGAGAAATGCGTCGGGATCTTTACACTTTTACAGCGACGCTAACAATGTTCCGTAATCCATCTGGGAGTCTCGACTTTCGGCTTAATCTTCGCGGAGTGCTTTCCGCGAGGCCGTGTTAAATGCTGAAGCAACGATCCGATTCCTCGACGCGGATAGATGACCAACGGCGGCGGAGTCTAATTTCGGTATTTACGCGAAGGTTCAATGTCGAGACAGAGAGAGGAGAAGGAGAGAGAAAGAACAAGGAGAGGCGTATTATAGCGAGGCCGAGCTTCTCTCCCTCGGAACCGTTGCGTGCGGCAGTCGTCTGCGGAGGAACGAAGCAACGAACGAACCTACCTACCTCCCGGTGTCAAGGTGAGCGTGCAATCAATATACGCCGAGCGGCTGTTAATTTTAATCCGCGGATCGCGTGTGCGGCCTGATACAGACAGAACGATTACGAGCGCTTTTACGAGAGGTCGACCCTCCTACGCGAGTTCCTCGACACATAACCCCGAAAACGTCCGACCGCGGATGCGCGTATACGCAGGTGTACAGGGTGTCCCGGAAGCTACGAACTCTTCGATGAACTTTGACGAGACGTGTTGATCAACTTCCGACGCGATTAACTATCTTCGAATTAATGTTTCCTCCTGTCCCAGTCTGACAATCGTGTATTCAAATGCAAATTCGACATGTAAGAAATGTGTACTAGCGTGTGGATCACCATGTGTTCGAGTGTTCTCTCGTGCCTCCCCGCCTCGACTACATCAGCACCGATAAGGATACATATTTAGCATGGGTTCTTCATTTGAATAGTAATTTCCTACCTCCATATGTCGGAGAACAATTAGTTCCACGGCTTCAGAGTAAAAGAACAGAGTCTCCTATAGTACGTTATCTTTGTTCTCCTTCGAAAATGTAGAATGAAATTGTCTGCTCTACCTTCTCCGAGAGAGATACAGATTTAGGTCTTCATAAAATCCAAATATTATTAACTCATTAACTATTAGTGTTCCACTTATGGAACACCTTTACTTCGTAGACTAATATTACTTGATTAATTTGTAATTTGATTTTTAATGCTTTCTGAATTTAATTAAGAATTTAATTTGTTATGTCTACGTTACGACAAAAATAGTTTACTTATCCAAGACTCTTATAGATAATAAAGATCCTTTCGTTCAAAATGATCATAAGATAATATCACCATCTTTGAGTTATGAATTCGACATACATTGGTGGTATATGCTGAAAAAAAAAAATATCTAAGAAATAAAAAATATTTGTTTGGTGAATATTGTTTGGTATATACATATAATAACATATTTATTTACTAATATAAAATATTTGTCAAATAACATTGGAAGAAAAGTTTGGTTAATCCAATTAAATATTTTTTAAGGAAATAGATATTCTAAAAATTTTAATATATTTTCTTAAAATTTTAGCTTTTCACGACAGCAATTGTCCATTCTATTTAAATAAAATAATTTAGATTTAAATAAATATGTTATTAGTACCTATCGAATAAATACTTTTTATATCCTACATATTTTTCTTTCACATTGTACACGCGCGATTCATTCATCGAAATTTCTCGATGTATGCATGCACGGCGCTTAGTCGCCGAATAAATGCCATTTTATCGCGAAACCGTGGGTAAGCGTTGCAGGTACATGCATTCAGGTACACCCGGTGCAGGCAACGGTGCGTATCCGAGACGCAATCGACCGTAGGGGAGTTCTTCGCGTGTTAAGCGGAGTAGCGCTTGCATATTCAAGAGCGGATAACGTCGCGAAGGCAGATACGTCTCGCAGACGTCTCTCTCTCTCTCTCTCTCTCTCTCTCTCTTTCTCTCTCTCTCTCCCTCTTTCTGTCCTTTCATATAATTAAATTCTTGGCGCCAGTGTCAGGCCTCATGTCATTGGAATACTTGAGTCCCCGAGATAAAATATTCCCCGAGATCCTATGCTCTAATAAAAAGAAAAGTTGTGTCTCTTTCTCCCTATGTTGAGGCAAAAACATCAGTGTAATATCCAAAAAGTAGCGCGACCTAATAATATGATATATTGAAACGCCAAAGTCATCGTGCACGGAAAAAAATTGTTTTTCGCGTATAGTCATGATAACCAGACACTTGGATGTTATTATACATACTGTACGCAGTAATTAAACT